TTGTTGTTGAGGTTGGCTACTGTAATTTAATAATGCTTATTAAAGAAATTTTGCATATCTCTTGCCTGTATCTTCAAGTCTGGATGCCATGAAGATTTGTAGTTGGAACTTTGCTGACACTGAAAAGAAAAATGCTTGAGATAGTGATGAGGATTTGGTCAGATAGTATAAACATTAAGGTGAAAGGAAAGATAAAGCAGTTATCTAACGTTTCTCTCAGTTTGAATATAGGAGAATTTTGCATGATAAATTATTATTTCCTAGTAATTCATAGTTTCTATTTTCCTGCTTCTCTCTTTACTTGTATTTGATTCCAGAGGCAATATGTGATATTTGTAGTAGTTACACTTGGGAACTAAGAAATATTTTGCATTAAACAACTGATATTCTTAAAATTTGCATTTATATAAGTATCAACATAAAATTTATGAAACATGATAAAAATTCTTTACATTGGCAACCAGATAGATACTTCAGAATGCTTGAATAATAGTTTTAAACTGTAAGTATTTAATAAGTAAAAAATGTGAAAGGTAAATATAAACATTTAAATATATTTAATTTTGATATTCATTAATTAGAACTTGCCATAGAAAATAGAGTAGAAAATCTTCAAAGAGGTAGCCTAATTAAATTTTTAGAAGCTTGGGCTGGGCTTGTGGCTCAGCAGTAGAGCCCCCGCTCAGCACGTGCAAGGCCCTGGGTTCGATCCTCAGCACCACATAAAAATAAATAAAATAAAGGTATTATGTCCAACTACAACTAAAAAATAAATATTAAAAAATATTTTAAAAAATTTTTAGAAGCTAGAAACTGTGAGTACACATATTGATCATTACCTACAATAAAATTTACAAATAAAACTTTTATACAATTCTCTACTTAAAGAAGACAATTAACAATTTTATCAGTTTTCTATTTCTGATGCTATTTAACAAATGCTAGAAACTCAACAGCTTAAAACTGCTCACAATTTTCATGGGTCACAAGTTGAGGTACTACCTCCACTTAGATCATAAGACAGCAAAGTTTCATCTGAGCTTCATTATCATCTGAAGGTTTGACTTCCAAGCACATTCACACCATGGGAAGAAGATATTTCCTTGAGGTTGGAGAACTGGGAGCCTTGGCTTTTTTCTTCCTCTTGATTAATAGGCCATCCTTAGGTGCCATAGACTATTGGTTCCTAGAGGTCTTGCCAACAGGCTTCCCCAAAACAGCTGCTTACTTCATAAGCTTGACAAGGAAACTAAGATAGATAGAGTGTTATATAGTTTAATATAAACCCAGCAGTGACATCCTATCACCTTATATTCTTTTTGTTAGATGAAGCAAGTCATTGGTCACCTTATATTCTTTTTGTTAGATGAAACAAGTCATAGGTGCTGTCCATACTCAAAGGGAGAGAATATCAGACAAAAGGATAAGTCATTAGAGATCACTTTAAATTCTGTGTACTAAACTCATCAGTGGAAATGAGGAAGAAAATTATTCACAAGTTGAGATCAGATGAAGTTCCTGAAATTTCATGTTCTTTATAACATAAAACTTTATAACTTATTAAAACAAAATGTAAAAAAGAGAACTAATTACAACACAGAAGCAAAGATACAACTCTGTCATGCCCATTGGAAGATGAAACTGGCAAATGGGCAAAAGTGAAAATTCTGGAGATTTCCTATCTCTATTTGATATTAACACTGGAAAATGACTATTATATCATTTGGCAATGTTAAGATATTTCTAGGAAAGCACAATTTTGACTTGAATTAATGATTATGATATTCTACAGGGGAACATGACATAAAATATAATATTTCATTGTTATAAATTTTTTCAAGTAGAGAAAATATAGAATTTATCTTTTATATACCAAGATCAAAAGCAAAGTATATTGTTACTACTATTTCCTATTTCCAACAAATCCTAAAGATTTTTTTTTAGTAATGAAGAAATGTGGTTGCAAACATTTAGATTTATGATTAAAACAATATGGACCTTCATCTCATTGGAAAAATGTGTGTGTAGTTACTATTGAAATAACAACTGAATAGACATGTAACAAATGATGAAATATTCAACAATATAGACATTGGAATGATGTTTTTTAAAGAAAATTTTCTAATATATAGCCAAATTTAATGGTGTTTTATGATATTAACTGTATAACATTTAATAAATCAAGAATTATCTAGAATTATAAATCATTTTTGAGTTGAAATAATGATCAACATGTAAATAGAATTAAAAGATGATAAAATTATGTCTATCTAGATTAGAGAATTAAGAAGGAAACAAAGTAATGTATAGTAAACTGAAAAGATACGTAATACATAAAACTTTAAAGTAGATTTTATTCAGTTCAGCTAAATTATTTCAATGACAAAGTCAAGATGAATGGCTAATACTTATTACACATGTTGTTGAATTAACAGAAGAAAAAGGGGAAGTTGAAATTAACAAGTTTTAGTGTTTTCATGATGATTATAGCAAGTACAGGTTTTATTTAAAAAGTGAAGAGCTGAGCACACTTCTCCTCCTTCTCTCTCTAAAGTAGGGAGAAATCACTAATTTTGTGGAAGCTAAACCAAAGAGCAACTTCTCTAAGTGGATGAGGTGAGAAGGGCATCCCAAATATCACATCTTTTTGGCAATCTTAGGAGAGTTTCCAAAAATGTTTTTGGTAATCCTGCACCTTTTTATTAGGCTGATTCTTTGTTTTTTTTTTATTTTTTTTTATTTTGCAAGATTTACCCCCCCTTTTTTTTTATTGTTGGTCGTTCAAAACATTACACAGTTCTTAATACATCATCTTTCACAGTTTGATTCAAGTGGGTTATGAACTCCCAACTTTACCCCGTATACAGATTGCTGTTTCACATCAGTTACCCTTCCATTGATTGACATATTGCCTTTCTAGTGTCTGATGTATTCTGCTGTCTGTCCTATTCTCTACTATCCCCCCTCCCCTCCCCTAGAACAACTTTATTGAGATTTAATTCACAAACTATAAAATACATGATTTGATAGGATTTAGTACATCCAAAGGATTTTGTAGCCATCACACTAATTTTAGAACATTTTCATCACCATGAAAAGAAACCTAAGACTTGTCAACAGTCACTGTCTATTTTGCCCCTTGTTTCACTAGCCCTAAGCAACCACTGACTGATCTATTTAGAATTACTATTGATTTGTGTATTCTGGGTGTTTCACATTAATGGAATCATGTAATGTATCCCTCATTATTTTTAAAAAATTTTTAAATTTGTTTTAATTAGTTATACATGACAGTACAATGAATTTATACACTTTGATATATCATATATAGATGGGATATAACCCTGTTCTTAATAAGGTTCTGGAAAACCTACTTATGATCTATCTTTAAAAATCACCTCTAATATTTCAAATTTATTACAGTATTTTCTTCTTCTTTTTCATTACCTGTACATCATAAATACTTTTAAATATCCATATTAGCTCATACTGTATAGAATGATGTATTGCAGATTGTAAGCTTTCTGACAACAGAATTTGACTTCAAAGACAATGAAAGCAAAATGCCTGCTTGAACATCAGCTGACTTTGAAAAGGGAATGACTACAATATGTTTAATTACACAGATGGGTTTTGCATTATCTTCTGAATACAGAATAAGAAAACTATGCTTTTAATATGTGATTTAGAAACATCATCTATTTTGTTTCTGTTATTACACTATCTTCAACTTAACCCATTCATGTTTGTATTAAGGAACTAATGATATGGGGTGATTGGTTAAAAATACAATATTTAATGTTGGCTTGCCTAAAGAAATTATAAGAATTGAATGATGTATGTTAATTTTTGTTATTCTTATGAATTTTTTATGTTATTGAGATATTTACATAGTAAGCCTTAAAAATTATTGTATAAAGCAGTGTTCTAAAATGAGCTTTAAAGTTGAAAAATCCAATGGCAAATCTTTAGGGAAAAAAGCACTAGTATCTAAAGTAAGAGTAGCCAAGTACTGAGTTATTTTGCAATAGAATTCATAATGAGAAAGTTTGTTACTTTACTATCCTTCATGGTTTTACAATGTAGAATTCCCTGTAGGCATTTGAGAAACTTTAATTTTCAGAGGCAACACATTTTGTTTTCAGTATTTCTCTGTGTTATGCCTTTCTCCATTAAAATTGTACTTAAAGAACTTCAGATTTGTGCATATTGTGTCTCAGAATGATGAGTGAAAGCATTCAGTAAACATAGTAGACATGGGCTGGGGTGTAGCTCATTGGTGGAGCACTTGCCTAGTATGTATGAGGCACTGGGTTCAATTCTCAGCATCACATGTAAAAAAATAAATAAAATGAAGATACATAGGCAACTAAAAAGATAAAATAAAATATATTTTAAAACAATAGACAGGGCATAGACTCTGGAATCAGACTACTTCCATTCAGCTCTCAGACCCACCTATTTCTAGTGGTCTAACCTTGTGCAAGTGACTTAACTTCTTGTGTTTCAATTTTCTCAACTGCAATGTAAGTATATAAACACCCATTGAAGAGATCTTTCAGGAAGATGAAATGAAATGTGTATATATAATACTATATATAAAGTTCTTAGCATACGGTCAAGTGTTTCATAATAGTTATTTTCATCATCTTGTGGTATAGGTATAGAAACAATGTAAAATAGCAGAAGTAACTAATGAATTGTCCAACTATAAATTTTGGTTATTTTCCCTCTCATTCAGTGATTCTTTATATAATGGTAAAAAAGCTCTATCTTTCCAACTTAGCTTTCTGTATATATTATATGGTGTTTAGAATAATTTTTATAAAATACAGACATATTGCATTAAAAATCAATAAAACAACACAACAACTGTTGCATTACAATGTAGTGATTAGGAAATAAATACTTTCTATTACTGAAGCCTTTTTAGAAAACACAGTAAAAATGAGTTTATATTTCTTGGCTTTAATAACATTCTTTCTCTTTCCCTGTGCCAGGGTTTTCCAGGTGACTTTGGAGACAGGGGCCCTGCTGGTCTTGATGGCAGTCCTGTGAGTACATTATGATGGTCCAGGCTTACATTTCAACATGATTCATACTCCATCTGCACTTGCCATCTTCAGTATTATATTTCTGAATAAACAGTATCAATAAATTTTTATATCACTCTGCATACACTAAATTGAGAGTTTTCAACATGAGAATTAAACGAAAAATATTCTTATACACTTTTTTATGTAAGTCATTAAAATTAATTATTTTGTCCACGATGAGTGTCACTGCTAAAGTAAAATATTAAAAATATATGATCACAACACTGACTTTTTTATATGAAGGTACTAACAAGGTCATGTAAAACATGTGCACTCAGACCTGCCACTTATCCACCTTACTTCTTAGTATTTTATAGAAATCTACTTTAGAATTTTTTATATGTCAATGCTCAGATTGGGAAAGAGTTACCATTCTAAACTAGTTTAATTATAGTATTAAGGAATAATGATGGATTGTTGTTTTTTACACTGGGTGAAATAGCTTCATTTTTTGCCTTCAAAGAGCGTCTGATAGCTGACCTCCCATCTATGCCAAATTCTTTTCATGAGATTTTAGAGTGAAAGAATCACTTGCAAAATCCTGATAGTATGAATTAGGAATAGTTCCTATAGTTAAATATAAGTAAACGCTTTCATCAACAGTTTGAAAGTAATTTCTTTTTAAATCTCTTTCCAAATTATAACTATGTAGCTAATTCAGTGAACTTAGATGAGGCTTCATTTGTTACAAATCATTAAAGATAAGAGAAGAATAGAACTGATTTACAAATAAGTTGTTAAAAACTTGGATGATATTTTAAGTGGAATATTTGCCATCTTTTTTTTTAACACATGATTCTGGGTAGCTTCCCATCTCAAGAATAATAAAGTAAGTATTACTTAGGTTTTTAAAAAATATCATTTGTGTGTTTGCATACCTAGTATGAAACAATCTTATTTAATTTTTGTCAACTATATATACATAAGTCTAGTAGGGCTGGATTCATAATATCTAAAACTTTCTTTTTGATATCTGCTCTTTATTTTAAACATATAATGCTTCTTGAGGAGCATTTTTGAATCTTTATTTGTATGAGTAAATTGCATATTTTTAGTTTACTGTTTCATAATTCTCTGTATATTATGTCTTTGTTTCAAAATAATTTGAAATGCAAGGGGTGTGGTTATTCTTATACCTTGGGCCACATAAAAATAATATGACACTGACACTGACATATTGTGTTCTTTCAAACAATGAAAACAAATATCATTTCTGCTTTATAAATAATAAAAATGAAGTTAGAAAGTTAAAAAAAGATTTTTCAAAAGAGGTGACTGTTTTAAACCATCTCTTCATAATCTTATATGCTGACCATATGCCTTCTCATACAACATGTAAGCTAGTTATGTCTATAGTACTACTTGCTGGAAGCATTCACTTCTTTTATTAAGTACATAAAAGGAATAATAATTCTGTATCCTATGCTTGGTGGTAGTGCTAGCATCCAAAATCATGCAGCCAACGATACTACTGAAGAACAATAAATTGGCTCTGCAAATTTGCACTCCTCAGGAAGAAGCATGAATAAAGGAATTTCAGAAGTTAATGATAGTAGAAAATAAATTTTATATATTCTTTCTTAGAAATTGTTCCCTTCATCATCAGAAAATACCTTTAGTTGTTTGTAATCATATTTAATTAATTTTATTTTTTTATTAGTTGCACATGACAATACAATGATCTTGACATATCATACATTTGAATCAAATGAGGTATAATTTCTCATTTTTCTGAGTGTACAGGTTACAGAATCACATTGTTATACAGACACATATATACATACAACAATAGTAGTGTCTATTTTATTCTGCTGCCCTTTCTATCCCTCCTTCCCTTCCCCTCCCCTCCCGTCACTTCTCTCTACCCAATCTAATTTAATTAATTTTATATATTTCTTTTACAATAGGGGCTTGTAGGTGGGATCGGTCCTCCGGGGTTTCCTGGGCTTAGAGTGAGTATCATCACTAAATACTATCATTGTCATGAAACATTTTATTGAATAATTTATATTCATTAGATGTATTTTAAAAACGTAGGAAAATAAGTTTTACTGTCATTGTTGATATCAGCCTTATTCAATGTATTTTTCGACCAGATAAGAAAATTATAGCAGTAGTATAAATGAAAACATTCATCATATTTTATGATATGCTAAAATAATACTTGTTTTTCCATTCCAATTGTGTTCATATATTTATGCCTGTTAGATTAAAGATCTTAGTCAGGACTCAGTCTCTTAAAAAATATAAGACATGGAATAGCCACTTTTTTCCTTTGAGATAATCTTCCACACCATCCAATTTGGAGAGTGACTTGAACAAAAACACATGATAACTATAGACTTTATTTTGTGATATAAAATTGAACAAATGGTTAGGAAAGTCTCCTTGAACAAAGGTAGAAGCTAGACTTCACCAGTGCCATTAAATAGTTTAATACCTAATTGACATGCTAAAAAATACAAGAAACTATTTGTCTGCTTAGCCAGTTTTTATACAGTGTTTTTCTCAAGGCACAGTTTAGCAGGAATAATTCTGTGGAGGCCAAAACAATGTAGTCCAGATATGTAGCTTTCAAATAAATTTTTGATTATTCATTGGAGTGAGCAGACTGCTACTTACAATACAGCTTCATTCATAAATATATTTCTCTCAGCAAGCTTATTATTCTTGATAGGGATATAAAATTCAGATATTTTATATAAATTTATAGCCTAAGTTTTAGCATTCAGCTGAGCTAATGGCAGAATTGATACGTGTTGATTAAATGTAAGTAGCCTAATGAGAAGAGACTCTTAAAAAAAAGTTTTCATTAGTACATTATTCATAATAGTGGGTTTTGTGTTTCTAAATCTTACTGGTTTTTTTTTAGTTATATATGACAGTAGGATTCATTTTGATATAATTATAGAAGCATGGCATATATCTTATTCTAATTCAGTCTTCAGTACCTCTCCTTCCCCTTTCTTTCCCCAACCCTCTGATCTCTTCCCTCTACTGATCTATCTATCTATCTATCTATCTACATTTACCCAATGTTTTTTTCTTAATTAATTTCTTGTGGATATACACTGTGGTATACTAATATATATACATAGGATTGTTATGTCAGATTCATTCCACTGTCTTATCTTTTTCTGTCCTTCCTCCCTTTCCTTCGTTCCCCTTTGTCTAATCCACTGAATCTCTATCGCCACCTGCCATTATTGTGAGTTAGCTTCCACACATCAGAAAAACATTTGACCTTTGGGTTCTTTGGGGGATTGGCTTATTTCACTTAGCATGATAGCTTTCAGATACATCCATTTACTAGCAAATATCATAAAAATCATTCTTCTTTATGGCTGAGAAATACTCATTATGTATATATGCTACATTTTCTTAAAGCAAACTATATCTGTATCTATATTTATACAAAAGTGGGATGTGATCAGTAGCAGAGGTAAAATTTTCCTTAAAAATTTAAAGCTTGCTTTAACTTATGAAGTAGGTAATTAAATCTCCAGAATTTTATACCATAAATTACACCCATAATATTTTTAGACCAAATTTGGACATAAGTTTTTGGACTTATTTAGTATTTTTTTCTCCAGCCTTGAATTGCCCCAAAGCACAAGGTAACAGCTTGATCAAATAAATAAGTCAAGACTTCAGTTATTGGTACTGGGGTAAAATTAAAGTCAGCCTAACAAGTTTTAATGTGCCATCTTGGGATGACATGCATATAGGATTTAGACTCAAGAAGGCTAAGTGAGTCTAAGATATCTTAACCTTTCTCTTGCATGTTAGTAATATTAATAGTAGTAGTAATTATAAAATTAGCAATAGCATCTCACATACATTGTTGTCATATAATTCTCCAAACAACCCAGGACCAGTTAGTTTATAAGTATTTAACCCAGATTTAAGCCAGATAATCAAAGTCCATAGTCCAAAATTTTGTGTGCTTTACCACTTCCTTAAAATTTATTCTTCCTTTATGATATGCTAAAATAATAATTATTTTCCATTCCAGTTGTGTTCATATATTTATATCTGTTAAATTAAAGATCTTAGTCAGGACATAAAGTGTATATTGTCTAACTCATGAAATTTTTTAAAGTCTAAGTAAAGGTGGAATGGATCAGTTTGCTTTTTTGTGTCCTCAGGATAGAAAAAAAGCCTGTAAGCAGCAGTCAGACCTTATCAATGGGTAGGTGAAAGGAGTTAAACTAAAATATGCAGTTAATAATTCTTAATTAATATATTAATATTAAGTTGATTAGCTAAAAACTTCTGTAATTACTCTTAGGGTTAAGACCAAAATTAATGTGGCCCAGCTTTGGTTGGTTCTTATCTGCATCTTGAGGACATATTCTTTGTGCACAAGAAAAGTTTGTTTACTTTTCAGTAGTGTCTCTATTACAAAACCTTTGCATATCGAATGTCTACCTGAAATATTGTACCTCTAGTTTTCTGCTTAACTCCTTCTTATTGCTATTTATTTGGTTTTATAAAAATACATTTCATTGTGTATATTTGAGATTTATAACATTATATATATATAGACTAAAATAGTAACCTTATCGAAACAGATTAACATATCCATTCATCTTATATAAATTCCTTAAAAAAAAAGACTCCTACTCATCTTTCAGCTCCAAGTTGTAGTACAGTTCCTGGCACATGTGCCCAGAAAAAAATAACTGGCTTTTCTATCCTTTCTCCTTCTCCACTCACCCTTCAGTAGATGGAAAGAGATTCTATAGAAAATGGAATGGCCAAAGATACTAGCAATCATGTTTGTAATTCTCATCTCATCTACATTGGTAAAGACAGAACTTTATACTTTTCAAAGTCATTTCACTTACATAGTCATTTGCTCCTCAAAGAGTTTTAATGTAAATAAGGTAAATAATATTACTTTCATTTCATATTCATTAATTTTTAAAATCAAAATTATATAAGTACCTGCTGATTTATCAAATTCTAAACTAGGCCTGAAAGTATGAACAAGTTAAGATTCTTTTTACTTTACTTTTTTTTGGCAAGGGGTCAAAATTACAATCTAATAACACAGAAAGAAAAACCATCAGTTTCATACATTCTGATTATTGCTACAGTTGACTAAATGCAAAACTACTGAGAAGATAGTAATCTGTTTTGTCTTTGTAGAAGCCTTTTTTAACTGTATCTTAAATATTGTGTATAAGTGAGTAAATGGGAAAGGGAAAAGTGTTCTTTAGGCAGAAGAATGCTATGTTCAAACATACAGAAAATAGGGGAAATAGGAATGTTTGGGAAATGGAAAGAGGAGCAGAGAGATTATAGCCTACAAAGCAGGGTAGACAGGAGCAGAATGGAAGGTGAGGTTTTGAAAGTAATTGGGAATAATTATGAAGAACCTTTATATTGCATAGAACATTTGTCCAGTGTTACAGCCTCCACCTTACCTCTCAGGCATTCCTTTTAGCAGACCTAATAGGTGCTACTACTTTATTTACATTATTTTTTTCCATGCACTTGGTAGTTACTGTCATTTGCTTTATCAATTTACAGTAGTAACAATGATTATTGCCTGTTAGTATGGTGGGTACAGTTGAAAAGCCCAGTGTGGAACTCCCAGTTCTTTCCTCAGTACACTCATATGAACTTTTATTAATTGCCCAGTGGCTGCTCCAATGCTTGAAAGTATTTCTTCTATCTGTTCCATTTTCCCATGGAAGAGGAGTGTGATAGGAACCTTTAGGTTACCTTTATGAGTTGAAAACCGCCCTTCAGCTTTAATGGATTACTATCTGAAGGCCACAAATCTTTGGAACAAGTATTTTCCACATAACTTGTAATATGCCACAACATGCTTGGTGTTTCTTGGAAATTCTAAACTTTACCATTCAATTTTTAAATACTTTGTATTTTACTAATGTTTTATGACATATTTTTTATATCTCCCAGTATTTAGTATTTTATAATTTTTCTCTTAGAGTCATTAAAAAGTAAAATAGAATGTTATACGTATAAAGTACATTCACTTGAAAATGCCAGCTTAAGCACAGTAACATATTTACTGAAATAAAATTTAAAATATTATATTATCTTTAAAAAACCAATAATACATTGTAAAGACTTTTTTCCTTGTTTTGTAAGATATTGCTTTCCAAACTTACATGGATTATTTATGTATAATTACTAAACAGAGATATTTATTAGGTGTTTTGAAACTATCATAAGTTTTAAAGCTATGAACTGTGAATAACTGTTTCCTATTGAAAGAATTTGGAATTACAAGCAATGATGTATTCATATTGCATATTTATTAAGTTGGAAAGAATTATCCTTTGCCTCTAACTGTCCCATACATTTCAGGTTTAAACATGTTGGAAGTAATTTGTCTTAGTTACATTTCTCAGACTTTAAGACTCATCCAAAGTAAAAATGTCATATTTTCCATTCTGAAATTTATGTTATATAAATGCAGAGTATTATAAATGTTCTGTTATGTCAGGAGATAGAACTCTAGAAATTATAAGTTAACTAATTTATTCAGTATTCATTCCACATTTTCTTTCAAAACTCCTATGTACCAGTTATTATGTTGAGTCTGGGAAATAAAAAAAATGGATGAAACTTTCTCACAGAATGCACAAATACAGGGGAGAAAGGAGGAGAAATGTACAGTACAGTATTCTAAGTAGGATGCCACCAGGGCCTTCCAGTTCTGAAATTTTCAAAGGCTCAATGCATATGATATGGGAAGCATGTTCCAAGAATAGAAAACAGTCCATTATAGCAAGAAAGTAGAAACTGGGAGAGGGAGATGTACAGGGAGATGTACAGGAAGAAGCAGGGACAAATGCAAAGTGGGTAGACTAGAAAGTTGGCAGAAGCCTGATAGAGAGGACCTGGGATGCTAGCCTGAGAAACGTGAATTCTAACTAAAAGGGCAACACTATAAGCATTTCACAAATACAACTATTTGGGTTTTTTTTTTTTTATAAGTTAGAGATTCAGTATATTTCCCAGGCGGGCCTTAAACTCAAGTACAAGCAGTCCTCTTGTCTCAACCTCCAGAGTAGCTAAGACTACAGGCACATACCATCATGCCTGACTACAAATAAAACTTCAAAAGTTTTTTTAACATTTGGAAACCATAGAGGAAAGATTTATAACTGTTTTATCTTTCAGGGCAAAGAATGATTTGGGACCCAGGACAGATGAGAGAAAGAGGGAAAAAGAGGCTCAGTGACACAAATTATACCTGATCTCCAAACCATCAAGGGATATTTTTGCCCATATTTTTTTCAAATTTTTCCTTCAGATACTCCTTTGTTGCTATTTTTCCTTTGTATTCTAAGAGAATATGTTGAGGGAGTTGTTCTATATTTTTAGCTTACGGAGACAATAGTAGTACTTCTGTTTTTAAGGAATTGAAACATTAAGTTGAGAACCTTGATGACAGACACTCTACCTTTTATTGTTTCTTTAAAACTATAATGTTTTAAAGAAACAATAAAAGATAAAGAATTCTACAATAAAGAATTCTAAGATAAATAAGTGAAGTATTTATTGACTACTTCCTGGGAGCATGACACTAAAATATTTCTACCTAGATGTTTCCTATTTGGAGAAATATTACAAAATGAACATCATGAACAATAAGTGGGTGTTCAAAGGAGAAAAAGATCCTTATAGGCCAGATAAGTATAAGAAGAATTAAAAAAATAGGATGGTTTGAATGAAAGTATAAAAGATTGGTAATATTTAAAATGTATCAGGTTGAAGAGATAGTTGAAGAACAGGGCACTGTGGGAGCTTAGTGAGATGAACTGCTCTGGGTTCATTAGTTTATTAATTAATTTTCCCATATTCTTTCTAATCCTAATGAATGCTTACTGATTCCTTTTTTTAAAACTGATTTTCAGGGCAATGTTGGCCCTGTGGGACCGATTGGACCTTCTGGAATTCCTGGCCCAATGGTATGGTTCTCTATGAATAATGGATATTTCCCTTTAATCTTTCCATGATATCAAAAGATATCACCTTTTTCTTTTTCTTTTTTAGGGTCTTTCAGGAAATAAGGGACTACCTGGAATCAAAGGTGATAAGGTGATTTAAATATTAGCATTACCATAGTGATATTTCTACACATGTCTTTTTTTACCAAATCAACAGACTTATGTTTCTAGAAGAGGTTACATATTTAGAAAAATATTGAAAGATGAATGTCACTTCATGAAATATCTCAAAATTTTTATCCATAGCATCTATACTATCAGTTATATTAATTTTTCTTAGAAGGAGGAAAAATAGAGAAATTATTCTTCTATAATTAGTACTTTTTTATAATATTGCCATATTTATAATTTTTATGATTTTGTATGAATTGTACTCTAGGGTGAACAAGGCATTGCAGGGGAACCAGGAGAACCAGGATATCCTGGAGACAAGGTAACTTTTATACCATTAAATTTTTTTATTTGTTTTGTTTTTGGTACTAGGGGTTGAACTCAGAGGTGCTGAACTCAGAGGTGCTTTATCACTGAGCTCCATTGCTAGCCCTTTGTATTTTTTATTTTGAGACAAGAATCACTAAGTTGCTGAATCTGACCTCAAACTTGCCATCCTTCTCCCTCAGCCTCACAATTCACTGGGATTATAGGCGTGTACCAATGTTTCTGGTCTCAACCATTAATTTTATATAAATGTGAAAAAAACAAATTCAAAATAAAGGAATACTCGATATTTTAATTATCTATTTTGTTAGAATATGGTATTAGTATGGTTTTAAGTCCTTGTTTGGAATTGGTTTTCTAAATTTCACTTAAAATACTCCTATGAATGTTCTTGTAGTTTACTAGTAGAGATATTTGCCTTTTGTGATATAATAGTTTTCTTTTCTCTCTGCTGTTCTCTTTCTTTAGGGTACTATTGGTTTGCCAGGACCACCAGGCATCAGAGGAAAGCCAGGACCTTCAGTAAGTTTTAACTTTCACCTTTGTTCTGATTAGCAGAGTACATGTCATGGCATAAGAATTGATACTTTTGATGTTGGTAGAATATAAGAAGTAGGATATAGCTCAACAGTTTTAGAACATAGCTATTTTAGAACATAACTAATTCCTCAGGTTTTCATCTCATATTCCATAGATGCTCCAACCTTTCCTACCCTAGGCCAAAACCAAGTTTCTTTGATCCCTAAAGATCTTGATTAAATTATTCCTTCTAATGATTTATTATAGACTGCTTAACAAAACAATGGGCTTTTAAATCAGAAATTTTAAAGCACTCTAAATAATTTTTCTGAATCAGTATCATTAAGGGGATATTTCTGAAAAAAAAAAAAGAACATGTCACATTGTTGTAGCCCAAGTATTCTAATTCCCTGTTGTTTTTCTAACCTTCGTGCATTAACTAGTTGAAAGGAAAAGACACTTTATGTTGCAGTTAACATATAGTTATACTTATAAAACTTAACATATGGTTAAATTTATAAAACTAAAATTATTTAATAATTAAACTAGAATAATTAAAGCATGAGTCAAAAAATATCTCAATATTAAAAATGATAATTGTTATAGTTAATATTTATTGTTTATAAAGTTTCAGGTGGTATTCTAAGAATTATACATCTCATTTAATACAACAATCCTGTGAAGTTTGTACTCTTATTATTCCTGTTTTATAGATTAAGGATATTGAGACACAGGGCATTAAGTAACTTTCCTAGGGTCTTATAGATAGTCACTGACTACCTGGGAAGACCTAGGTTATCAGGAATGTTACAGCCCATGCTTTAACCACTGTACCATATTATTTTAGGTCTTAATATTTTAAGATTGTTTTAATATTGATTACAACTTTATAAAGATGTAGGTGATATTAATTAGAAAAATTAGAATTAAAATATACATTTAAAAATATCACTTTCCTGAGCAATTTATTGTGTTGCCTCTAACTCCACAATGTCATCTAAGGATTGTTCATTTTTCATCTCACGAAGCACTATTTAGAAATTTAGGCACTCCCTTTTTTGTAACATCTAATTATGACAGCATGTGTGTATATATGTAAATGTGTGTGTGTGTGTGTGTATTTCCATACAAAACAAATTTTGTGATCTCTTTTTCTGATGGCATATTGGTGGGCAACCTTTGCTTTTTTTGTTTAAATGTCTTTATTTGTTTATTTATTTTTATATGGTGCTGAGGATCGACTCTGGTGTTACACGTGTGAGTCAAGCGCTCCACCACTGAGCTACAACCCCAGCCCAGCAACCTTTACTTTTACTGGTTTTTTTATCCTGGGCTTATGGAAGTCAACCCAATTAATCTTGTATCCCAGAATTATGCCCTAAAGTCAAATCTTAGTAATTTCAAAGTGTATAAATAGGGCATGAGAATCGGTCATGAAGCTAAGTAACAAATAGCTTATGTTTTTCAAGGATGATTCTAAACAATATAATAGAATATAGAATAGAGTATGTATGAGAGATGGAGATTTGGTTTCTAGTTCTCAACTCTGACATTTGACCTGCCATGATCTTGGCATTGATTTACCATAGATCCAATTTCTCATGTTAGAATATGTATGTTTCAGAATTCCTGTAGCTCTGTGACTCTATGATATTTCTGTCTCTTAGTAATAGTGCCTACTACTATTGCTATAATCTAAAGAAAAAAGTCAAAATACCTTATTTTACCTCTGTGTTAATCAGCTTTTCATTACTTTGACCAAAATATACAAAATAACAACTTAGAGGAGGAAAATTTTATTTTGGCTTAAAGTCCCAGAGATTTGGTCGGCCAAGTCTATGGTTCTTGGTTCAAGGTGAGACAGAACATCATGTTGGAAGGACATGGTGGAGGAACATGACTCCATTCATGGTAACCAGGAAGCAGAAAAATAGAGAAGGAAAGGACCACAGGGAAGATGAACCCTTCCAGGGCATGGCCCACCTCCTCCAGCCATACCCCTTGTGCCTGCAGTTACCACCCAGTCAGTGCATTCAAACTGGATGGACTGATTAGGTTATATGTCTCACTACCTAATTATCTCACCTCTGAATATTCCTGCAATAACACAGGAGGTTTGGGGGACACCTCATATCCAAACCATAACAACCTTCATCATTGTCGTAATATTTTTTTCCTAAAAGAAATCACAGTAAGTGCTAATGAGGTCCTTTTAGGGCAGAGAAGAAGAGATGGTAATAATTAGGGTTTTACTTACTTCATACTCATTTTATACCCTTCTGTACTATTCTAAAAAAATAATAGCCAGGATTACTTTGGTTGGGAGATAATTGACCATTTTTGTTATTTTTATCAAACCTTTGAAAAATGTTTACTTTCAGCTCAAAATTGGGTGGAGACTCATGATTAATATTAGTAAAATGAACTTGTCTTTGGTCTCTTGCTGTATCCTTTGTATTAATACAAAAGATGTTTAACCTAGATACCTTCCCTCATTAAGAGACTCCTACTTGATGAAGTATTGCCTATACAGAAACAGTTATTAAGAAAAAACTTCCATACCCAATTATACAAGTTAGTACCTACTAAAGACATTTTTTACTATCATGGAAAAAATGCTAAAGTTATATGATGTCTTTCACATTTTATATGTCCTACTTTTGGTTTTCTTTCATCAAAGATTTTGATGTGACTGGAATTATTTTCAAGTGGATCTAAGTTATAACATGAAAGAATATTTTCCAGATATAAGAATGTCCTGATCTGGGAGGTTTGTACATTCTGGAATAAGGAAGCTTTTGTTCTTCAAGTTTAAAAAAAAAAAATAGAGAAAACTACCACTCTGAAAGTGTTAGAAAATACTCTTTCCCTGAGATAGAGAAAAAAGACAATTATAACTTCCTTTCCATTTTTAAATAAGAAGTCTTTGTCATTTATAAAGATGTACTTAATGTTATTCCATCTCTAAGTTACTTGAAAACTCAAGTTTTTGTGAAGGAAAGGTGACATTCACAATAAACTTGCAACTGAGGTTTTATAAAACAAAGAATTATTATTATAATGAATAAAATTATTCCACAATTTATGTTTTTAAATATTTGGTTGTTACTTAACTTTTCTGAAAACAAAGGCTAGGCTAGTCATTTTTCCTAAATGCTTATGAAGTTAGGGTCTGGCTGGATTTTGCCACTAGAGGTCCCCAGTGAGAACCCCATCTCTGAGAGGGATACTTGTCATTTTTAGAATTTAAGACTCCCTATGTACTGATTCTGATGAATCACAGTTTTTGTTTATTTGGAACTGAGAACTTAAATGGGTCTTTGAATGATATTTCATTACCAGACTCTGGATGTGATTGCAGTAGTCGTGTCCTCTTTCACATCCAGGTACCTTAGCACTGAGAATTGAATCAGTACATATAGGAAATTGTGCTCTGGTTCTTTAAAAATGTGTAATCTTATATTGCAACTTGTAGTTTTATGTGATCTGAAGTCCACTTAAATCCAATTTGAAGCGCAAATACAAATTTAATATGAGAAAAATAATGAATTCAATAGTTTTTCTTTCATAACTAAGGGTATCATTAGACGACTGACCTTCCCTCTTCCGTACTTTCATCTCTTGAAGGCTTTGTCAGCCTTCTCTGGTTTCAGGCTTTATACCACTTATTTTTCCTTTCCATCCCTGATTTCACATATGAATGTCTTCTAAAATACTGAAATCAAAATCTTTAAGCTTTAATTAGAGGATCACAACCATGTCAGAGTTTCAAATATCAGCCAGAAGAGGAGCAAGGATATGAAAAGAGAGATAAATGATTTTAAATTTGGTTAACATTTAATGAATATTTATACTTTCTAAGTGCTAGGTACTGTGCTTATCACTTTACATATATTGTCTCATTTAATCCTCAAAATGACTCTATGAAAATGTCAGTAGTGGTGTTATTCCTATTTTACTGATGAGAAGACAGGTTTAGAGAGATTAAGCAACAAGGATTTCAATCCCAGTGAGTCTTAAATATTAAATCAGGACATTAAAATGGGAGAAAAGAATTTTCAGAAACAGTTTAAAGGCTTTGATTATTTAGAAAAGCAATTCTTCATCTAAAATTCCCTACCTCTTTGAGTCAAACTTTATTTTTCTAGCTATAGGCAAAACACACACACACACACACACACTTTTTTCTCTTGATTTGAGCACTTAACTCATAAATTTGTATGTCTAACAGTTAAGAGTAAATATGTATTATCCATAAACATTTTACTTAAATAAATTTCACAGTGATGATGGTTACAAATTAAGACTCGAAAAAGTCATTGAAACTTTGTTGGGCATTTATATATATATATATATATATATATTTATTAAGCTAACATATATTTTGATTCTCCTCTTCCCTCTTTAGGGTCAATCAGGTGACCCAGGACCCAAAGGACCAATTGGCCCCCCAGGACCAGAGGTAAAATACTGATGGAAAGATAATGAAATTGAAACAATAATGGTGGAAATTAAACAATTGATAGAATGTGTTCTATATTATATAGTAAGAAATTTTTTTCTAAAGTTTAACTCTATAAAAAGTTTAGAGTAAATTGTGTTCTATTAATTCAGGAGATACCCAACAGTGATGAGTGCTCCTAAGAAAATAGTTATCCCTTATCTTAAATTTGTGAAATCAGAAGTATTTTACATCTTGTTTTTTTTTTTCAAATTTTGGAATACTTACATATTAATAATGAGATATCTTGGGAATAGAAACCAAATCTGAACACAAAATTCGTTTTTGTTTCTTATATACTTTATACACATAGTTCAAAGATAACTTTATATACTTTTAATTCACATGTGTTTTGACTGTGATAGGAGATCAAGTATGAATTTTCCAATTGTTGTACCATTGTTGGCTCTCCAGAAGTTTCATATTTTGGAATATTTCATATTTTAGATTTTTATATTAGAAATGTTTGACCTATATTAGCCACATTTTCATCCTGATCATTCCATAGCAGATGTATTTGTTCCACAAAGCCATCTATTAATAACACATACTTGTAGCATGAAATCAAATTCTGGGACATAAATTCAATTTTAATATTAGTGCAGAATTCTTCTAATTCTTGTTATATATGCATGTCACTTGTATCTCATATTTTAGAATAAACATAATTAAGTCTGCACTACATATATCAAATTTGCTTGTATATTCTTTAAAATTTGGACTTTGGTTTTATGCTTGACATAGAACAGCTTTCTTTTCTGTAAGTCTGCATAGATTGTGAGCTTCTGAGATAAAACATTTGAACTTTTTAAAATCTATTACGTGAGATAAAGCTTCTGAACCTTACCCTAGTCTTGGGTATACATACCAAAATATACACACGTGCATGCACATACATACACATCTAATTCAGACTAGTTGCAGTAGTAAAACTAAGGACATGAGTTGGCTTCAGAATAAGTAAATGAGAGTAGTGTCCCAATAGTGGCAAAACAATAGGCAATTTCAAGGATAGTTACAGACTGATGCCTTCTCCCTCTCTTTGTAAAAGATGAAATCCACTACTTATTCCATCACTGTTTGGGGAGACTAACTAACTTCTTTAACTAATTAATGTCCTTATTTCTAATTTAAAAATACCTTCCATAATGAAAGTTCAAAAATCTAAAAACTACATTATACCTACTTTTATTGATAAAAAGGTAATAGGAAGTAAAACACAGTAGCATGTTAATGTCATCATTCTGAGATGGAGGAAATTGTCTTCAGAATAATAAAAATTTATCTCTTTATAAGAACCTACATTCTTTCATTTTAAGCACTTTTAATGAAAACTCTTCTTAAATAAATAACATTTGCCTGTCTTCTCATACTAAAGATACAGAATCTAATTTAACTTTATTTTAAAAGGTTATCATAATGACTGTGAATTGCTAAGTTAAACTACAGTTACAAGTGGTATATGCCCTAGGAAGGACTGTGTTGATTCCTGGTTTTCTCTGATTTGGGGCTGTTTTCTTCTTTCACATAAAGCTTGATTAAGGATATATGAACTATGTTTTCACTTGCTTCTTGGTCTTACAAACATGTTTCTTTCTTCTCTGTATCCTTTGAAACGTTAGGATCTGCCATCAACATTTAAAACATTGTCTCCATGATTTTGTTTCTGCACTACTAATAAAAGATCTTGAGCCCCACCTTGTCAGACTGTACTCTATACAATTCTTCAGCTTCACCTGTGTTTTCATAGACCTGAAGATATAATCTGTTCTCTTTCATGAATTAGTATGAGATTGTTTGGGGGAACAAGACCTAATCCAAGGAATATGACTTCTTCTAACTCATAAAAATAGAACACAGGCAACCATATATGAGGCAATACATTTATCCCAACTTTCTCAGCCTTAGGCTTTTAATAGATTTGCAGGTCCAAAAATTTAATGTAATATGTTTAATAGAAAATCAAAGGTATAAGTTTCTACTTGAATAGTGGGTGAATTTTTTCAGGTAAATTATGTATTGTGCTAAATTTAGATTTTATCTTGTAGGCATTGACCAAAGTTTTCTAAGCAAATGAATAGAAGTATGAGACTTGTGCTTCGTGAGACATATATATGATAGCCAGAAGGATAATAAAGGAGGGAGGAGAAACCAGGAAACCAGGAAAAAAAGTATATAGAAACCAAAGACCTGACACTAAGAAGAGTAGATTAGAGATACATATTAGATAATCATCTACATAGAGATTAGATGAAGTAATTGTAATAGATGAAATTGTTTCAGGAAAGTTCTTGATACTAGGTATGAAAATACTATATCTGGACACTCACACCCAGAAGGCTTCAGTTTTAAGTTGGTAATAAAAGGGCAATAAAATAAATTTTGGCAACTGGAAAGCATACTCCTAAGTAATTCATATATTGGAAAGAGAGGAAAACCAAATCACAAAGGAAATTTTAAAACACATAGAACTGAATGAGTACAAATCACTGTAAAAATTTGTGTGTTGCACCTAAATCAACACTTAGAGGGAAATTCATAGACAAATTCATGACAAGCAAGAAAGATTAAAAACAATAATAAGTTACGCTGACCATAAGTGTGGGGATTTGTTTCAAAGGGAGAATGAGGTTGAAAGACAACAAATAGGATAGGTTCTGTGTTTTTGCAAGTAGGACACTTAAGTCCCAGAATATAATATAATATGATGGAGGGAGAATCTTGAGGACTTCTGTGAAAACTAAGTAGAGGAATGAGTGAGGGCTTATAAAATATTTCTGAATTGTGTTAAGGTTGAGACTTTTTTCCAAAATGTGGCCAAAAATTCTTGTACATTTTATTAAAGATGGATTTTGATTTAAACTCCAAATTCCTATTAGCCATAGCAATGAAATACATCAGCTATATGATTCTCCTCTCACTTGGATAATAGCATGTTCATTGTTCAAAAGGAGGATAGCAATACATGACATTAAGTCTCTGTGATTTTCGTTTGTCAGTATAGATTGACATACTACCAAACTATAATTCAATAAAAGTAATTTTATTAGGAGTCAAAATTATGAAGTTTAGGTATATACTCCTATGACAGTTTTTGTTAATTATCTGGCAATAAAATATTTAAATTAAAATCTAAAAAATAATACAGTATTTTAGATTTAATATATTTTGAATGTAAGTTGAGGAATTAGCCTGAGTGTCATAAACTCTAACCTTTTCTTCATTTTTAAAATGAAACTATTAATAGTACCAACCTCATAAAGTTGATGTTTTATACACATTAATACATGTAAAACACTTCAGTATCTGGTTAATAGGAAGCACTCAATAAATATTAGCTACCACCATCACTGTCATAAATGTAGGACAAAGGAACTGTCTGTACCCATGACAAGTTTCAGAAAGCCTGGTTGGTTCAAGATGAAAATCATGCCAGTGTAACTGGAGTAAATGAAATCAAAAGTTATCTATAGTGAAATTGGAAATGTTTATGGGGTATATCATGTAGTACTTTGCAGAAAATAAGGAGAAACTGGATTTTGTTTTAAGTGCAATAGGAAACCATTGAAGCTTTAACATGCAGTAGTATGATCTGACTTGATTTCACTTTTAGAAGGTTATTTTTACTGTTGTGTAGATATGAGAGAATGAGGAGAAAGAATGCTGAAAGCACTTTGAAAAGAGATGATTTAAAGATATTATTTTAGTTTTCTGGGTACAACATGATAATATCTTGCAATAATGTTGTAGAAATAGAGAATGAGCTTATTTAGAAAAATGGTAATTTCAATTTTAGACAATAAAGCCATGTAGCTTTAGAATTATGTTTTTCTATCTTTACCATTCTTTGTTATCACCTATCTGAGGAACTTAAAACAAAATAAAGATGCTCAGGGTCAATCCCAGTAGTGCTGAATCAGAATTACTTGGAGGTACTCCATAGTGGTTAACAGTAACAATAAAGAACTACATTTTAACTTTCAATTCTTTTTTTTCTTTTTTTGCACTCTTTTATTGGGCTTAAGAGTGCTTAGTATATAGTAAATTCTTTTTTATTGATTTAAAAAAATAAATGTCAGCAGAATGCATTTCAATTCTTATTACACATATACAGCACAATTTTTCATACCTCTGGTTGTATATAAAGTATGTTGACACCAATTCGTGTCTTCATACATGTACTTTGGATAATGATGTCTATCACATTTCACCATTCTTGCTACTACCCCCCTGCCCCATCCCATTCCCTCCCACCCCTCTGCCCTATCTAGAGTTCATCTATTGCTCCCATGCTTCACCTCCCTAACCCACTATGAATCAGTCTCCTTATATCAGAGAAAACATTCGGCATTTGTTTTTCTGGGATTGGCTAACTTCACTTAGCATTATCTTCTCCAATGC